AGCCGAGCCGAATCGAGCCGCGCAGCCGAGTCGAGCCGAATGGAGACGAGCCGCTCCCCTGAGCCAGACTGCGCCCTTGAGCCGAGCCGAGCCGAGCCCGAGTGAACGTAGCCAGCTGCAGTGGCTGCACCAAGTGGTGCTCGCTCCGGCCGATCAAACGCGCGGACCAATCATCACAGCCCGCGTCCGCCGCCCCGCCCCACTCCTCCGCTAGCGCTCCTGCACACCCAACTCCGAGGGGAGATAGCAGACCTAGGCGCTTACCGCTCGCAGTCTGTCACACCGGCCCCGCCCGACTTCAGAGCTCCAGCTGCCACACGATCCGCCTTTAAGGCGCGTCCCGGGACCCCGTAGACAGTGACCTATGGAGAGGGTGCAGTGGCTGCCTTGGCCCGTTTTTACTCTGCAGACTGGGACCCTTGGGTTTCGGAAGGAGCTTCCGGCTTCTTGGGGGTGTTGCACGCAGTGTGGGGATGTTGCAAGTTGGCGGGGTGCCGCATGCAGGGTGGGGGTGCTGCACGATAGTGGGGCTGCTTCAAGCTGACGGGGGGTGCAATGCAGAGGTGCAGGGGTGCTGCACGCAGGGTCGGGGTGCGGAAGTGCTTCACGTTGGTGTGAGGTGCAGTGCGGAGGCACAGGGGTGCTGCATGCTGGCGGGGGTGCCACACGCAGGGTGGGGGTGCAGGAGTGCTGCACGCGGACCGTGTCCAAGCTGTGACCTTGCGACTGCTAAGGCTATGCTGGGACGCGGTCCTCCGCCTTACGGCCTTTCCCAGTGCTTGAAAGAGAGGCATTTCGTGGGTATGCAAGGGTGACCTGCGCAGTGGAGTCAAGGAATTCACCCGGTCACAGCAGAGGGCCACCGCCTGCGTGCCCCAGCCTTTGCTGCAGACCCTTTTCCCTTCACGTTGAGGAGGGGGCGACAGGGCCCAGCTCCGCAGGGGAGAGGAGCGTCTGGAAGGTCCACACAGCCGGCCAGATCAGAGGGACCCTCTGTGTTTTGCAGAAAAACACTCGTGTTTCCTTCAGCTAGTGCTGCGGAGGGAAGGGGATGGGAGGAGGTGGGTGAAGACTGCATGGAAGGGAGGAGTCCCACCGCTGCTGCCGCCACGGAGGCTGTGTTCACGAAGGTGGTGTCAGTCCTGGCAAGTTCCACTCCTCTCCTCTTGCTATCTCAACCTCTTTAAAGGTCGTGGACTTAGGGTGGTGGGTGCTAAGTTCTGAGGTTTCAGAGGATGGAGCAATGCCAGCCAGGGACTGTGGGGGGAGAGGGGTTCTGACATCAGGCAGATGCCCACAGAGGGTCAGCCTTGAGGCTATTGGTGGTGTGAGTGGGGTTGGTAGTCATTTCCAGTGGAAGGACCTTGGACTGCAGAAACTGTCAGGCAGTGAGGTCTGGCTGGTGGGCTGGAGGTGCAGAGGTTGAGCAGGAGACCAGGGAGGGCTTGGGCAATCACAGTGGGGGGTCTGCCACTTCAGATTTGTCTTCCTGGTGCCCTTGGTAGCATTTGACCCTTTCAACCATTCTCTGGCTGCTCCTGGTTGCCGTAACTCTTTTTTTTTTTTTTCCTAGAGACAGAGTTTCACTTTGTCACCCTTGGTAGAGTGCTGTGGTGTCACAGCTCACAGCAACCTCCAGCTCTTGGGCTTAGGGGATTCTCTTGCCTCTCAGCCTCCTGAGTAGCTGGGACTACAGGCACCTGCCACAACGCCCGGCTATTTTGTTGTTGCAATTTGGTCGGGGTCACGTTTGAACCCGCTGCCCTTGGTATATGGGGCCAGCGCCCTACCCACTGAGCCACAGGCACTGCCCATGGTTGCCATAACTCTTGCTGTTAAGACATCCACTGCCTTCCCCACTTCCAGCCTACTCCTGTCCCATGCTCTGGTCCTTCCATTCCTCTTTGGCCACTTGTGACTTCTTTGTGTCTGTGAAGCCCATGCCCGTTGGCAGTCTTCAGGGGTCAGTCTAGATCCCTCTTCTTAAGCCCTCCAGGCATGACTGTCCACCCTCAGCCTTCATCCTCATACTGCCTGTTCATGATCGTGAGTTGCCACTGCCAGCCCTTACCCGCTGTCCAGGGTCCTGAGCCAGCTCCTGCCTGTACCTTTCCTGTGTCTGTTGCCTGAATTCTTCAGCTCAGCACCTTCACGGTAGGATGCTGCATCCCCTCCCCTGTCTTCCTAGAGCCCCTCATGGCCAGGCTTCAGGGAGCCCAGTCAGTGGACCCAGTGTAGCAATGCCCCAAGAAGGCCATCCCAGGTTGGATGCTAAAGCTCTCAGGCTCCCTCAGTTAGTAGGGACAAGAAGACCTGTTCCCAGGCCAGGAGACCCTGATGGGAGAAAAACACCCACACTACCACAAGCACTTTGAGGACACCGGAGGGACTACTTCCTGACTCGTACATGATACCATCATAGCCCTGGTATCAAATCCAGGTAAGGACACAACAAGAAACGAAAATTAAAGTCCACTATCTCTCATGAGCCTAGACACAAAAGCCATAACAAAATATCAGCATATAGTTTCCATATATAAAAAGAATACATACCCTAGGGGTCTTATTTCGGGAATGCAAAGTTGGTGTAACATTTTCAAAATCAACAGAAAAACCACACAATCATTTCAATAGATTCAAAAAAAGCATTAGGCAAAATTTAACACCAAGATAAAAACTCTTAGCTAACTAGGAATAGAAGGGAGGTCCCTCAACCTGATAAAGGGAAACCGCAAAAACCCACTGCTAGCATTGCTAAAAGCTCTTAGAGCAGGAACGGAGCAAGATTGCCTCCTGTTGGCCACCATGTTTCAGCAGTGCTGGGTGGATATAGCCAAGGCACCATGGCAAGGAGCACAAACGTACCAACCAGAAAGGAACATGACTTTATTGCCTCCAGGAAATCCTAAGTTGCAAAACGCTGCCAAAACTAACAAGCCAGTTTACCAAAGCCACAAGATACAAAGCCAAAGTTGACTCTGTGCACTGACAACCAACAGAGATCGAAATTATAGAAATGATAACATTTTAAAAAGAACCAAAAAGCATGAAATTCTAGGGGCAGATTTAAGAAAATTTGCATGAGATTTGTTCCAGAAACTTATAAAATACCACTGAGAGAAATTTTAAAAAACCTAAGTGGAGAGTCATACTATGTTCATGGATTCCAAGACTCAATATTGTTGAGACATCAGTTCTCTCCAGGTTGATCAATAGCAGTGGTTCTCAACCTTCCTAATGCCTTGATGTATTTTCGTTGTTACAAAGGGGTCTCGACCCACAGGTTGAGAACCTCTGATCTATTCACTATAGAGTGAATGCAATTTCAATCAGAATCACAGCTGGTTCTTTAAAAATCTTTTTTAAATAAAGAGACACATTTTAAGTCTTGTTATAAAACTAGCACAATCAAGACAACATGCTGTTGGCATAAAGGAAAACATTTAAATAAAAGAATGAGATAACAGTCCCAAAATAAATCCTTATATTTATGGCAATTGGTTTCCAACAAAGGTCAAAGGTAATTTAATGGAGCAAAGACAGTCATTTTGACAATAGGTGCTAAAACCATCAGACACCCACATGTAAAGAAAGAACCTCAAACCTTACCTCATGTGATCTAATATTAACTAGATTAGCTATTTAGTATTTATAGATACTAATTAGAAATGGTTGATGTACCTGAGTGTGAAAGTTATAAGCATAAAACTTCTAGAAGAAAACGGGGGAAAAAATCTTTGTGTTCTTGGGTTAAACGTAGATTTCTTTGATAAGATGCAAAAAGCACAAACACTAAAATAAAACAAAAATAATAAATCAGACCTCATCAAAATTAAAAACCTTTGTGCTAAGTAAATCTTTCTAAGAGTAGAATGTGAACGTTTTAAAACAATAACTGAGAAAATGACATGAAGGCTATGCTGACCAGTTTGATGGAAGTATTTCGGATTGCATGTGAAAACCCCACACTGTACCCCAGAAGTGCATTAATGTACATAGTTACCATTCAATAAAAAAAAAAAAAAAACCTTTGTGCTTCAAAGGCACTGTTAAGAAAAATGAACTGCCACAGATTGGGTGAAAGTATTTGCAAACCATTTCTGATAAAAGACCTGTGTCTGAAATATATAAATAATTTTTACCACTCAATAATAAGACAGCTCAACAAAATATTGGACAAACTTTTTTTTTTGGAGACAGAGTCTCACTTTGTTGCCCTCTGTAGAGTGCTGTAATGTTACAGCTCATAGCAATCCCTTGGGCTCAAGTGATTCTCTTGCCTCAGCCTCCCAAGTAGCTGGGACTACAGGCACCCACCCCAAGGCCTAGCTGTATTTTTTTTTTAGAGGCAGGAACTTGCTCTGGCTCAGGCTGGTCTCCAATCTGTGAGCTCAGGCAATCCACCCACCTTGGCCTCCTAGAGTGCTAGAATTAATTACAGGCGTGAGCCACCACACCCAGACTTTGGATAAAACCCTTTGAACAATAAGAGACTTGAATGCCAAATACTCACATGAAACAAATGTTCCACGTGATTAACAACAAGATGCTACCACACGCCCACTGGAAAGACCAAAACTTAGAAGACTGGATGAAAACATAGCACCTGGAACTTTCCAA